GTTACTGAGCACCAGAACAAGTGTGACAGCGTTCACGCGAGCACTGAGCGTCCAATCATTTTGTTGCTTCGCTCTTCTTCTCATCAGGTTTCTGCAGCAGCGACGATGAGAGCTCAGACAGACCTCCGATCACTCTGAAGCTCTCAACTGAACATCACAACACACACATGCAAGGTGGGAAAACGCACGCACGCTAATATCACAAACGCTGATACGATGTAAAAATTCAAAAACTGAGTTTCTGTACTTTTAGCCGACGACGGCAGCGATTGGTCAACGCTGACAGCAGAGAGCGGAGAGGACACGCCCTCCTGGCCTGTTGGCACGGAGACGGAGGAGTGTGAGGTGGTGAGGTGTGTGTGCGAGGTGGATGAGGAGAATGACTTCATGATCCAGGTGAGACACGCACATGAATGTTTCGTCTGTAGCTGCTTTTAAAATGAATCCACAGAACTGACAAACAAGTCTGGAAGGAGAGAAATGAATCATGGGAAATATTTTACATCATTCGTATCCATCAGGTTCTGTTCAATGTGAAGATTTAGCAGATTATCTTTTGTCACTGAAGGCCTTTGTGTCAGGAAACGTGCTCAGAAACACAGAATTGTGATCCCATCATTTTCTCTGTGTGTGTCTGTAGTGCGAGTCGTGTCTGTGCTGGCAGCACGGGACCTGTATGGGTTTATACGAGGACAACGTCCCACACAACTACATCTGCTACTACTGCAGACAGACCGCAGGTAGGCTTCACACTGTGAGCACTTACTGCTGTGGCGAGCCTGTGAAAGAAAGCAGGTAAAGGTGGATTATTTGATAGTTGGTGTGATATAAAACTCAAAGCATTTTATATGTTACAGCAAAGGCCTGGAAAAGTTCCTCGACCCCTTCTTGAGTGGTAGTAGGAGGTAGCTCTCTGTGTTTAGGTGAAATCAGTTCCAGACGTATACGGTGTTGCACCAAGAACAACCTTTCGGCTGCTTTAGTTGCAGTTTGTAGAGGTGATCACTTTTTCATTTAAAGGCGACCGGTCCCCGAGTCGAGTTTTACCCCCACTCAGCGGTTAATAGAGAGAGGTTGCAGCGTAGTCGGCGTCTTCCATTCAAACTGCGAGGGGACCAGCGCCATCATGAGGAACCTGCAGGAAACACTCAGCAGGCGGTCAATACACATTTCTCCTGTGACTGGAGGACGCCACAGGGGTCGCTGACCCGTCTCTAGGTCTGTGTGACCGAAGCCTAAAATAACAGAGAATCCATTAAGATAAGATAAGATAATTCTTTATTGTCATTGCACAGTCATACATAGTACAGTAGTACAATGAAATTGGAAAACTGTCCTACGTCGGCACTACATATAACACGACACGATATGACACATCACAACGCAACACAAACAACACAACACAGTATAATAACTTAGTAATAAAAAAGAAGAATAAGTGTATTTGTAT